GTTTCCCGGTCTATTGAAGCAAGACTTTAAAACTGTCCGTCGTGGCTTAATGATAATAAGCCGTGCATCCATTAATGTCCACCGAGCCAATAATCACAGAATTCAATAATGGTCACATGAAGTCTTGTGTGACCATTACCAATAAGATTATAAAGGATCCCTCCCATCGTTTGCATTTTGATTTATCTCCTTTTTGCTCCTACTCGATCACTCGTTCCTCTCATCGGTATCTACTCTCTCGAATAAACATTTATAAAACCTCCACTGTACCGTATCTGGCTCGAATCTCGACCAAAAAGGAACGAGTCGTAAATGAATTACGTCAATCTTTGATTGAATGAATCAAACATCGGAGACTTTTTACACAGCACCCTATTGAATTTGTTCATACTTCTATAGTTTCTCCGGTGTGCCGACCAGTGTTCAATTTTTAACTGAAATGTAAGCATATCTCAGCTTGTAAAAGTTTTAAACATAAAATGACAAATACAACTACAGGATTGCTCACAATCAGCAAAGAAAGTGAGTTGTTCGAAATGTACTCAGTGTGGAACAGTGCTCGAAGGTATATGGTCGTGAACACACCCAATTCGTTTATTCATTTGTTATTCTTCACCTTATCTTTATTTTACCTCTTTAGTGGTTATTTCTTTGGGGACTTGAACAAAAGAATGTGACACTACACGCTGTAATCATCACGCAAACCCAATTTCGACCGGATTGTGCAATTCTGTATTGATTGTGGTACTGATGATAGCAATAAGCACCAAATTCGGAATACGAACCACGCCATACGAATCGCGGAATACGAATTAGGATTAGCAATCACGGACTGGATCACGTAAGCACTGGACCGCACTGGTACTAGCACGCAATATCCCACGTAACTGAGACGCGAGGAAAAGGCCTTAGAATTAGTAGTTCGTTTATTGGAAGAAATAAAGGGGATTAAATTATGTGTACAAAGCAGGCTCCTTGGCTATCCGGGCTCCTACCAATCGCGTTCCAGTATTCCTGGCATCGTTCTACTCCTGTCTGGGCCGCACGGTCTCTGATTGGCTGGTACGATCTACCTATGGTATGTAGTCAGAAACAGTGACACGTTCGCGCGTTGTTGACTTCACACGTGAAGTTCGATTGATCAAGGTTGTCGAAAAGCTGTAACGCTTCGCCTCGGGATACGCGTTATCTCGTAGGCCTGGTTCACCACAAACTCACAACACCGCAAAGATCACTCAATGTGCTAATTTTATCTATGTCTCTTTGCCGTAATATTGCTTTGGTGAAACGATTGTCCTATTTCCCCAGAAATTCTGTTCCCCGTTAGGCGTGGCTGTATGAATGAAATTAAAAAGCTCTTTGCATAATTTATAAACGGTTAGCGGCACAAGGGTCTGCTCTGCTTATGTGACCATTCATTTTTGTTTCGAACGGTTTTCAGGCACTTTTATTTGAACTGAATTTGAGGTGAGCTGGAAATTTTCGACGTAGTAAAACCTCCATAGGGTTTCTCATTAGGAGAGAACGGTTTCTTTTTTCAGACTTGAAACTGAAAGTTGGGATATTTTTGTAAACCATTTACCGTTGGGTTGGTCCCGTTTGTGGTGTATCTGTGAGAATGTGATTCGCTTGTACTTCTCCCCTTTTTGAACGCCATGTATCGAGTTATACTTCCATTCGTCCATTTCACCTGACAGTCAACCACAAATTTACATAGCCTGAGACTGTTTTGGTGACTTCCGGCTGCCATCCGTTTGTGACAGTTTTCTAACAGGATTTCGTCTGACACGGTGTCGTCCCACATGCATATCTACGCTAGATCAGCCCCATTAGGAATGTTATGTTGTAAGTGCAGTGAATGATCGATTTATCCTTCAAAAATGCATGCAGTTGATGGACTTGAATTCCACTGGTTCGTTTACGACCACGTTCGATCAATCAGAATTCAGCATTACTTGCGCATATGAGTGATCCATATAGAACAAGTCTATTTATAGCGATTGATCTTCCGTGTAGTTCCGACAGACGACTGTAGGTAAATTTGCACCAGTTACCCTTCACGACCTTCTCTGGTTTGCTTGAGCTCAGGCGGAATTGGACCAATCAGATGGAAAATCACAAAGCTCACGCATGTGTTCATTTGCATATTCACATGTGTTTGTGTGTTCAATGGAGGAATGCTGCTCATGCTTGAGAACCTAAATGTGATCGATTATGAAATGCGATGCGAGCTGTGATATAACCGTACCCGTGAGATCAAATGGATCGATAGGAGCGTTGGGAGAGAAAGAGCCACATGGAACGGCCTATAGCTCGGTTATGGCTGTGTATCGATACCCATCTATTGCCCGTCGAAGAATTTACCGATAAAGAGTTAACTACTTATGAGTAGACGATGTGTACTTTGGCAAAATCATAAGAACTTAAACGAACTGCGTGGTGAAAGATTGTATTAATTTGTTATTAGGGACATTTTCATCCTATTTGTTCGAAATGGTGTCAGTATCATGAGAAAATGTCTGGATGAAATATGAAAACCACGTGCGGTAATGAATTTCTCCCAGATGGTCCCAGATCACATCACCAAGATTTCCGTCAACGTTTTTGAGAATTCACCTAATCCCATTTCAAAAGAAGTTTCCACCTTTTTCCTGGAGGTTCCGGCTGCAGGTTGCAGGAATCCGTTCAGATGGTTAACAGTCAGATGTGTATAAATTCTTCTATTAGTTTTTAACCAGTTCATTACGATTATCATCACATTTTATAATGGAAGGTACTGAATTGTAGAGAGGTTCGGGGTGCAATGGCAAACCTAACCTCTTTTCTGTGATTCTTTCTTTCTCACGTTTGTTTACATTTTTACTGGTTCAAGTGCAGAAATATTTTGACACCGAATAATTCAGCGCCAAAGGTAAGCAAGCGCATTCTGATTGCGAATACAGGCAGATGATAAACTTGTATGTAGACCGAGATCCAGGAGTGTCCATGTTATCAGACCAGACTAACCACCATGTCCATTTTTTCTAGCTGGTTCGGTAAGCGACGCCAAATGGTCATCTATCAATCATAAGCCCTAGCTATTAGAAATTTCATCAGAGGTTAAATCCACCTGTCACTTTGTTTATGGATTGATAATCCATTGTATTGTACTACAAACGTCCGAGCCACCTAATACTTTGTACCATGTTGAGATATTTAACTGGGCCCCGTCAAATAGCGAAAAGAAGAATAATGCGATTATCGTAGGTCAATCACTTACTACATATCCATGTCCTGACCCCAATCCACATCTTTTCTGGTCATCATCGCTTTCTGCCCCTGATCCACGCGTTTCGGAATCACAACGAGTTCGGTGCAACGCATTTGTTGAATGAACTTGAGCACCGAATAGCTTCCGATGAGCACATTCTGCGAATTCGTGAGCACTTTTTGCACCCCATCATCCGTACTGTTCGCGCTAATCCCGCTACTGGACATACGAACCATAATCTCGTTGTATAGTTCCTGATAGGCTGGATTCAATGATGCATCCTCCGTGTGTGTGTATGTGTGATGGATGAGGCAAGGAGTGGGTCGGGGATGAGTGGGGTTTATGGAGAGAGAGAAAGAAAACGGTGTTATGAACCATGGACAAAATGTAATAGACATAGAATGTAACATGGAATAAGGGACAATGGATTTGATTAAAGCCACATTGGTGATGGTTTGAAGCTTTCTATCTAATAAGATCGCTGAAAATAAAATTATATTTAACGAGAATTTTAGTTTGATGAGTGATATATTTATCGCTATTCACTCTTTCTGGTTCTCTACTGAGTGCCGACATTGCCAAATAAATAGCCGGTCGGGAAGGAAACCTTTATTGATGAAATTCAAAAACCAGTCACGTGAAAGTTCGATTACAGGCAGCTAACGCTGATGCACGATTCATATTGTTGGTTAAACTGTGACCATTTCAAGCAAACTTTGGCGCGTGTTACACCATTTCATTATTGTGCTCGCCCCGATAGGTTAAGTCAGTTGTTGAGAGGGATAAATCGATCGGTAGTTTTGTGATTGGTTTATCCGAATGTCATCTGTATGCATACTCAGCTGCTGATCGTTTGCTGGACTCCAGTTGTCATCCGGTTCGTTAAGGGATTACCTTGATTTTTACTTGGTATTCCACTTGTTACGACCGAATTCCAGCCTCTCTGGTAATGCATAGTATGTTTTGGAGGCCCGTGATCCAACACAAGAAATCAGAACACACAAGAGAGCGTAAGGATCGGAACCGGGTTAACGATTTAATGGCTGATCGTAAGAATACATCAATCGATTAAATGATGGCCTAAAACTAGATCAAGTTAGCTCATGGACAAATGGTCTGGAAGAACAGAGATTAGTGTCTGTCATGAACAAGTGAATCATGTGATTGGATGATCAACGAGAACTGATGGACGAATGGGTATATAGCACCACTCATCCACCAAGAATGTGTACCTTGTTACAGGCACTCTTACCCTCCTCCGATTTATTATTATCCCGCTCCATCTAAACATTTGTACGACAAAAAATGATCCCTCATCGCTTTAAGAAGTCACTGGCAAATCTCTCAGATGCTTTGCATCTCGCAGTTGCATTCTATTCGGTCACTGGAGTAAGGAAGGTTGGTTTTATATCACATTTTACACTTTAGTCGTCAACACCTACACAAATACTAAGGAAATTTCATCGTCTTGTTGGGAGATGTTACTCGCTTGCGAGTAGTTCGCAAAAAGATGCAATTGGCGATTTATTTCAACTACCGAATATGAAAAAAACCTATTGGAGCGAATTGCCGCTGTGTGGTATGGTGAATACAAAGAATGCGTATCTAACAGTGGACCGTTACATCAACTTTCCTCTATGCGTGTGGAAATTCCGCAGACTCGTTCCAAATGAGATATTTTGTTGTATGGATGACAATTTACCGATACACTGACCGTTATTCATAATAGACTGCCGTCCTTCACCGGACACCGTTGCTTGAACTATAACAACTGATGCTGTCGCTAAGTATCAGGACGAAGGTTCCATGGTCTGAAGCCTTCGAGGATGAAGACATGCGGACATTCCTGGAGGATGTTGCAGAGCTAACGGGGATACGGTAGGGTAAGTTGCGGCTCTCCGAACGCTTTTTGAGAGCCGGATGTGGGCGGTATTGGAGGCGGCGAGAAGAAGCCCGGAGGAGATGGAGTGGGCCGCCGCAAAGGACGCCTCCATCGCGGGTTTCGAAACCCCTACCGACAGCCAGGAGGCATTGCGGAGCTTCGGGACGACGCAGCTCGGAGTTGGCGTGGACCGCCTATCGCATGCCGTGGCCTTGCGCGCCCTGTTGGATCGAGCGCAGCCAACATTGAACTAGGCCGCTCATTGTGAGGTGAGCCATGGACGTATTCACGCTGGCTGAAGCCGTGAAGCAGTAAACCGATCATGAGATTTCGGATATCCAGACTCACAAAGTCCAAAACGACGGCCGACGGAGGATGTAACCGAGCCCTGAAAAAGCTGACAGAAGAGGTGGCGGTGCTGAATTCAAACTGCGGAGTAAGAAGGACAGAAATATGCGCTTTCAGTGCGGCAAGCTGGGTCACTGGCGGAGGAATTGCTCAGAAGGATACAGGAAATATTCTCTCGGCAAACGGTTTATTCAATACACGCTCGTCTTCCTAAACAAAGCTATTATCGGAACGGTAGATCACGGTGCAATCCAGACCCATCTGGAGGTAGGGGGTCGGAAAGAGCTATGTTGGAATGATACGTGTGCGGCAACATCGTTGACGAGATGGCAAGCAAATGAGCCCCTGGAAACATGGAACACTGTTGTGAAAGCAGTTGGTGGATACCGGATCAAGGTAGATGGAGTAGCAAAACGAACCGGCCGCGTTGGGAACAATATAATCAGGCTTCCATCTGTCATATCAAGAGATACGAAGACTATAGTGATAGCAGATATCTTGTGCAGTTTATAGGCCGTGGTTGATCTGAACAACGAACGGCTAGTTACCAAATTCGGCACGATCCCGCTGTTGCGCTCGAAAAGGAAGAGACTATAAGCCGTGAGTATACAAACATCTCACACGAATGTGTCGCCGTCATTTCGGCCAGTTGTGCAACGATACTATCACCTGTTCACAGGCGATGATGACCCGTACGGGTTCTGTAACTGGGTCGAGCACAAAATTCCAATAAAGGCAGACAAATTTCGAGTCTATGTTTCACACCGAATTCCATTATACTTGGAGAACGAAGTCAAACGGCAGGTTGAACAAATGTTGAAGGATGGAATCATTGAAGAAGCTAGAAGTTTGTATAACCCGCCCTTGCTGCAACGAAAATTTTCGGTTCTGTGTGGAGTTCCGCCAAGTAAACACTGCGACTATAAACAAACTGTTCCCATTCTCGAATTTGACCGAAATATTTGACCTACTACAAAGCGCAAAAGTGTTCTCAGTTATGGATTTACGTCCGGGATATTGGCAAGCACCAATAAAGAAAGCCGATTGAGGGAAACGGCGTTCGCAGTCGGCAATAAACAATACCAGTTAAAACGAATGCCAGTCGGACTATCAGCATCGCCATTTACATTCCTGGTCTTCATGCTGAAGTTACTCGATGGTGTCCTCAACATGGTGATGTATGGTGAGGATTATGTTGCCTACAGCCAAACATACATACATATACATATTCCATTTGGAAAATATCCTGAAAACAATCCAAGAATCTGGCCTTCGGATTAAGGATAATGTCTCAAATTGGGAAACCAACTGTGACTTTAGTTGGTCATAAAGTTGGAAACGGAGAAGTGAGGCCACTTCCTGAGAAGATCCTCAAGTTAAAAGAGGTTGTATGCAGGAAACACCGAAAAACAACATTAGAACGGTTCCTAGGCTGTGCCGCATACTGTAGCCGGTTCGTTCAAAATTTTACAACTATCGCTGAACCGTTATACGCGTTCCTCAAGAAAGAGTATCGCTTCCGATGGACACCAGAGGCCCAGAAATCATTCGATGAATTCCGAAGGATCACGACCGAACAACACCTGACACTGAAGTTGTCGGCGATTGGTGAGCGCTTCACAGTTGTAACGAATGCCATTGACCCTGGTGTAGTAACCGTACTCAAACAAGCAAGTGGAGTGGTTGAATACGCAAGCAGAGTCCTTACTCCAACGGAAAGAAAATATTCCACCACAGAAAAAGAATGTCTTGCAATCATTTGGGCGATGGATAAATGGCGACTATATCTTCTGGGTAAAAGTTTTCATATAGAAACGGATCACAAGCCGCTGATGTGCATTAAAACCACCAAGGACCCGAGAGAAACACTAACCAAATGAGCGCTTTGACTGCAGGACTGTGACTTCACGATCAGTCATATTTCAGGTGCGGAAAACTGTATAGGCAAATATTTTGTCTTGTCAGGAAGAAACAGATTTCTTCAGTGTCAGTAAACTGACAGTGGGACAGTGGTGAAGGAACAGCTCAAGGACCAACAATTCCGCAAGGTGATTGAAGCAATATCACAAGGTCAACAATACCGAAGCTCGCAACATAGAACACACATGAAGTCATAGAAATCCGTATGGAAGAAGCTTTATTTGAATGCCGCTGGTATCTTGATGAAACGACAGCTAGGATGAAGGTACCATGTAGTTGTCATTCCGAAACGGCTCGGACAACTCCTTATTAAAGAAAGTCATGAACTGGCGCACACTGGCTGCGCGCGAACCTACGATCTGTGATGGAGCATATCGTGGCCATGTTTGAACACATATGAAGGAAGGAACTCAGGGAACTCCTTTTATTCTAATGCAGCTGCAGCTTTGTGTTACATACATTTTCCTTTTCGTCTGATGTGTCCCGAGCCGATCGGAAAGCAAACATACACGGCTGGTCCATCTGTTTGGGCAGACATTACAATATACTTCTTCCGGGAACTGGAGTTCCACACTCGTCTTCAGCAAACGGAATTGCATGGAGTCGAACGTACCATCTACTGTGCGGTTTGATTGATGCATTTCTATGTCATGAATCACTGATGCAAACCACATTTTGAGGGAACACGAGTTAAATTA